GTGCTGTAATGTTTGATGTTTATTGGATCAACCTTTTCTAATAAGGGTTGAATTCTGTATTTCAGGTTAATTTATCTCTAATGAAAGTTATCGTTTCTGATAAAAAAAAGAGATTTTGGGTTTTACATGCTTGAGAATGTTTTATATGTTTGATTTTATTTTTAAATTCACATTTGAATATGCTTTACATGTTATGTTTATGTATTTTAATTTTAGATAATAGGTTTTTATAACATTTTTTTTAATTTAAAGTTTATATATTTTATTAATATTATGTTTAATATATATTTTTTATTTTTTGGCATTTTTTATTTTTTTCTGACATTTTTTTTAGCATTGTTTATTTTTGCGCCTTGCTTCAAAAAGGCACGTGCCTTGCCTTGCGCCTTTTTTGTGCCTTGCGCTTTTAAATCACTGGTTTAACATTTATGGACGGCCAGTCAGCTCTATATGTAAAACACCTTATGTCTAAACTCCTCTCTTCAGACAACTAAGAGATTTTTTCTTTGGTATATAATGTACTAATATACTTGTTCATTATACAATATGAATTGACTTTATCTTTTGTGCTGATGAACTTTTACTAGCATGTCTTTTGCAATATATGTACTAGCATATGGTGCATTAATATTTACGTTTCTAACAGTTATATGCAATTTTGTATCAGAGGTGCAACACTCTTGCATGCCCTTATTGTTAATTCAGTTTTATAGAACATGTTTCACCTAGAGTACTTGACATGTAAAGGGTCCAACTCTTGACCTCTACCAAACCACATATTGATATGAAATTATGAACAAGATTTTTTTGCATGATGGCTCATTTTACATTTGTATGGTTTCCGTTTGATTTCACTGAGGTTATGCTTATGTATCTTCTAAAATTGTCTGCAACTTGTTTACATCCATGAGTTATTAATATTAAACATTTCAGAATAGTGCTTCATTAATAATGTTAGACATTCCTATTAAAAGAAAAAAAAATAGAAAGAAAAAATTATTCTAACTCCTTGTTCTGACGGTGATTATTTTGTTAATGTCACCATATTCTTTTTAATTATAAAAAAAGGTCCGTACCCAATGTTGGTCCTAGCTATGTGGGGTGTTGGGAGGGGTGGACTGGCTACAGTCCTAACCGTTGGCATTTTTTTTTTTCTTTACACAAAGTGGCCTCTCAGACTTGAACCTATGTTCTCATGCTCTCAGACTCGTGATTGTCTGAAACTTTGAATTACCATATGTCAATGATTTTTTTTTTTTTTTTTTTTTTTACTTCTATTTTCTTGAACTTGTTCTTCTGCATAGGTTGAGTTGTTGCTGGTGTATTTTTCTGTTTTTTATATTAATGGCCTTGAATTACTGTGTTTTTTATCATGTTTGCCTTTAATAAATGTTCAGCTCTGTAGACTATTGGAGATGTTTTGTTTGTTGGATGCAGTTTATGTGTTATAGCCGGGAATATTTCTCCTATTGACGTCATTACACATGTTCCAATCTTATGTGAGGAGGCTGATATTCCCTATGTATATGTTCCCTCGAAGGAGGTAAATTGAAAGACTTATGATTTACCATTCTCTCCACCGTTTTCATTTTCTGTTTTGAGGATACTGATCCCTGCAATGGTGGATTTTTTGCCACCCTGTCCTACGGCATAAGCTACATCATCTGTTTATGAAGCTCTTTTTGTGTCCATGATGCAGTCCATTATCTATGAGTGGGTCACATGTGTTGTGCATCTTAGTAAATTTTCATTGATCTAAGCAAGTTTTTTTGAAGCCGAGTGAGTCGTGTCTGGGTCATGATAGACTCAGTCCCAAACCAATAAATAAATGTGCAGGACCAGTCAAACTAGACCCTTTAGGGTTTTCAATAATGGACCCAGACAGCCCAATTATTAATTAGGGCTATTGGATGTGGCCTGGTAATATCCAATTATAAATAATCGGCAGTTCTACTTTCACGTTTTAACCTGTAATTTGACAATAACCTGGAAATTTGTTAAATTGACACGTTTGGGCATTATAACTATATAGTCTTTTGGGTCTTAATCGGCTCAAGACAACCCAAATCCTAACCCAGTTATAATAGGAACATTGTATAAAAACCTAGAGCTGACCAATATACATTTGGGAGACATAATGCAGACCCAGACCCTATAAAATTGTTCCAAATTGGTTTGATTCTGTTGGGTCTACCTGACCCATTGGCAGCCCTAAAAGCTGCATAGTTAATGGGTTAGACAATCAAAACTGTCAAAAACCCAGGACTGTATGAGATGTCTGGATACTGGGTCACCAGTTTCAACCTGCAGGTCAGTTTGAAGTCACTTGTGTAACTGTTCAAGCCCTTGACGTATCAAATGAACCTGAATGTCCAAATTATCTATTTAACTAATTGACATTGGGGCTAACCTCATTCGGTAACTTTTCAGCATGAGCAGCTTTACTGTTTGCATAGATACGCAACTTGTCCCTATTTATGGCATGGATGTAAAAGGGATTACCCTTTTTTCCCTTTCTGTTGCAGTTGTCTAGCTATGCATTCTTTTTACCTTTGTCACATTTCTAAGTACTCTTCTCATTCTTCTATTTTTTAACCAATACAAGTATACTGTAATGATTTCTTTTCATCTTGTTTAGCAGCTAATGCCTCATTCCATTTTATGTTTCTTCCTTTTGAGTAAAGATACAATGTCTGCTTTCCATTATTGCATGTCTTCATGGGGATAAAGAATCCATCTTTTGATAATGCAAGTTGTATCATGGGACCTGTATCAACTTTTTTCTAACTTGTTTTTGAAAGATACAAACTACCTCCACCCTCTAATAGTCAGAATATGCCGATACGGCTTGGGTGATGATTAACAATCAATTTACCTGCTTTTAAGTAGTTGGCACATCAATTTTAAAAACCTGTACCTTAAATCTGTTTCAACTTACAATCTTTTTTCTTTCCACTAGTCTCTGTTTTTTTTTAGATCCTGAACATCTTTCCTTAAATACGTACATTTTGCTCTACCATATGTGAGCAAAATGCACATATGTGAGCATGCAGGCTCTACCATTTTGCTCTTAGCCGTTTGTCAATTAACTTTCCTATTCCTTTATTTTACATCGCTCTATTCTTTTTTTTTTAATTTATTCCGTTTTTTCAGGATCTTGCCACTGCAGGAGCAACCAAGAGGCCTACATGCTGTGTCTTGGTGCTAACCAAGCCTACCAAGGGGGAGCTGGGCCAGGAGGACCAAGAAAAATTGAAGGCAGATTATGAGCAAGTTGTACAAGATGTGTCTGAACTGACATCCTCTCTTTTCTGAAAGAAAAAAAAAAAAACAATACTAATTCAGTTGTCTACTTTTAGCTTCTAGGGATTGTTGTTAATTTTAGCTTACCTTTCCATGGTGTTATATATGATATCTTTTGAATTGATTTTGAGTGTATGTGGGTTCGATTGCTTTATCATTCCTAAAAAGGAAGGACCCAAGTCGGTCGAGTTTCATGGCTTTTAATATATGTTTTTAAGGTTTAAATTTAAATCTATTTTATTTATGGCTTTTGAAGGATTAAACATAGCATTGGGGAGGGGGGGTTGGGACAATACATTCAAAAAAACCAGAAAAAAGAGGGTTCAAACCATAAATGTCCCTAAATAAAAAACATGCTCTCAGCTAAAAAGAAAAGGGTCCAAAAGCAAATTCAGCAAGAGGAAGCCAAAGCAAAGATTATCTTGACGCCCATGCCTCAATTTTAGGCCCTGTTCGACTTTTGGTAAGTTATTTATATGGATAAATGCACTATTAAGGTAGGTGCACTTTTCTATATTCTTTTATTTTTCAGGTAAGTGGTACTCAAAAAAAAAAACTTTCCCTGGAATTCATATAAATTTAAAAAAAGAATATGGGTTTTTTAGTAATTTCATTGACCAATTTTTTCTCTCAAAATCTCAATGATAAATACCTCCTAATTGTTTATTAATTGGGTTAAATATAAAATTTCTCAATGCCACTTAACCAGCATCGTCAGCTTTGAGGGCTTAACCGGTTTATGCAATGTTGCAAAATTCAAGTTGCAAACCACTTTGAGGAGTAAAGACGTTAAGTATGGATCTCAGTTTTTCTACCCAAAAAACGTACACGAGTTGAAAAGGAATACACCGCATTTGAAATTCATACCTTCTGTTTTTTTTCCCTTGTGAAAATAAGTGAGATGGCATTCTTTTACCACCCTTGGTTCCCTTTATTATTTTTCTTTCGTTTTTTGTCAAATAATTTGGATTTGATCGGTTGATCCCAATAATGCCACTTATTTCAGATTTTTAATATGACATAAGCTTGGACTATAATATAGATATGATATTCTAAGGATTAAAATAGTGGGGTGTATCGTATCTGTATTGTTGTATACCCTATGGATATATTAATAAAATGATATTTTTTAAAATATTCAAAACTTGGAAAATGATGGGTGGGACCTTTTAATACCTATAGAATTAAAAAATATAAAAAAATTAAAAAACAAACGAAATCTGTTATATTGATACACACCAATATCCACTTGATTTTAATTCTTTATTTATGATATACACAATAATCTGAATTTACTCATTATAAATTCTGTCAGTCAAATTAAGTTGTGGGTCTTTTTCATCTCATGTTATCATGTATCAAATAAGAGCAGATAGGATCTACCTTGGAGTATCAATTCAAAACCAAGTCCCCTTTCCATCTCGGAGGAGTGACTGTTTGTAAACCCTCTCATTTTCTTGCTTTTGTTTGTCTTGATGTTTTGTTCTTGAATGCTAGAAAATGCCATGTGGTTCAGCTGTTTTCATGCTGCAAATGGTCCCTCATTGGAAGCAGATGAATAAGACCTTTCAGCAAGCAGGAAGGTGGGGCTCGGTGTCACTGGGCTCTGGACCAAACCTGCCCTCAGTCCCTTGGAAGAAGATTGCTGTCACTACTCACTTGTTACAATTTGATTCACATACCGTGTATCTTGTGTTGAGATGATAAAAAAAAGGGGTTTTTATCATTCAGTCTACCTTTGAAATCCTAACTCCACTGTACAGTTGGGGGTAGGTGCCAAATCGGAATTGATGCCAAGTCACAGACGGGTATAAGTGTTATAAGTGAAGCTGTTCATAAATTTGAATTGTTATAGGTCTGCAGTTCAAATCTAAATTCTGAGGTGGAGTGCAAACTAAAAATCCTAAAAAATACATTACATAAATTTTCTCAAAGGACATTCTTTTACATTCTAACCCTGTGAACAGTTGGAATGTAGGCAACAACAACATCGGACAACTGATTTCTTACAGCTAGGCGTCATCTTGTCATTCTCAGCAGCTGCTTCTATTTGTGGCTGTTCTGTTGGATGGAAAGGAGGGGCCGAGAATAATCTATAACCAGCTAGACATTACCAGTGGTTGTAACCACAAATCACAAAAATCAAAGCAAGTTAACGTCTTAATCAGCAATTGCTGATAGAAACATAGTTTTATACTATTATTTTTTTCTACCTGTAACCTGTCAACTTAAATTCTTTAATTGGCGTTGGTAGATTGATCAGATGACTGTAACGTTTGCTGAAGCTGGGTGTGGAAACCCATTCATGCCCATGTACTATGTGTGGGGACATTGGCCATGTTTACACTAGCTAGTTGAGGTCATTTTTTGAAATTGGCACAAAAAATGTTTTGAAAAGTAAAAGCAATTTGGTTTTGCTTCACATACTTTTTAAACTATCAGGCTTTGTTTGTTTTTGGTGTACATTGTCATCGATGGAGTTCAAACCGTTGGAATTTTGAAAACTGTGATTATCGATGTAAATACTACATCGATAAAACTCAATTGTACGTGGAATTTACATTGATTTTTTATGTAAAACATATTCTCCATCCAAAGGAATGAAAATACGGACAGGAAGTGGAGTTTTTACACCAATCCGTATTTACACTGAAAACAAACACAGCCTTAAGGTTTATTCGACTCAAATTGAGTTGTTTTTTAAGCTTATTTGAGTTAAGTAAGGAGTTTTCCTACATCAGATAAGGATTCATAGGGATTGGCCACATGTCCAATATCTTCCACCAGCTTATACCCCACCTTGTACTGGGGATGTACCCAACTATACTAGCTATTCAGACCTTTGGTTCTTGATTTTGAGCGCTTGGAAATACGTTCCTTATTTCTATTTGATTCTTAATTTTTCTGAGTGACCTTTGTCCTACAGTTTGATGCTTCCACCCACTTTTATCAGTGTATGGAACAACGGGTTATATCAAGAGGCCAGCTTTTTTCATGTATATGAAAATGGGTTAGATGAAGAAACCAGCTTTTTCATGCTGAAGGACCTTCAGTTGAGGGACAAAGGTTCTGCTTTGAGGAGAGCACTTAGAAATAAATATAAAGAAAAAAGGAACACACAGAAGGTTTTCTTCTGGGTAAGTGCTAAAACAAAAAGAGGAATGACTGGTGTGTGAATAGGAGAGAGAGAGAGGGGGGGGGGNGGGGGGGGAGGGCAGGTCCCTGACACATGGACTAAATTATTCATGGACAACGGGTTTTTTGATCAAATCATCAAATAAAGCAAGAAGTGTTTGTGTTCATGGTGTTATCAACATCATCAATCACAAGGGAATGGGCGGGATCCCATGTCTCCTCATACAAATCCCTCCTTTATAAAATGTTGGTACCATGAATATGTTTTGAGGTACATTCGAATTAATCACTTTCACTCAATTTTAGCATTACGATAAGAAACACACTAAAAATTGTAATCACTCCACCTTCTTTGTATTTAGTACTATAAAATTATAACGGCCATAGCTTTAGACCATAAAATGGATGTAAAGAATATAGTTTTTGAGGTATTTTAACCTTTTGAGTGCTCTTCTTATTGAAAGTGAGCATATTCAAACTTTTCTTCATAAAGAGTAGGTATATTCAAACTTCAACCCAGAATTGTCTTTAGAGTTCAGAGAAAGTGGTTTTATCACTAATTAACTACTAAGATTATTGGCTATAGCCTGGGTGGGTACTTAAGATGATTGATTATTATATTTCCCATGTAACAGGAGATTCACCAAACACTAAACAGAAACCCTGTGATCATTGATTTATGGATCATTGCTGTCAGATCCGTGAGGTGGGTCGACTGAAATTTTAAAGCCATGGAAGAAGGAAGGAAAACCCAGAAAAAAGGGGAAAGGAATGGGAAGGATCAAATATAATTGAAGACATTAGAGATGGGTATGATGAGAGACAATTCATGGTATAAAAGTACAAAATAATGGGTGGGGAGGGAAGGAGAATTCCAGCATGGAGTGGGGTCTGAGATGCAGAGACAAGGTGGGGTCCAAGGGTGTCAACCAGTTTGTATGCTTTATGATGTCTGCTTCTGGGTTCACGTCCAAAACCACATAATGTGAGCTCGTACTAGTGGTCAAACAGAGAAGTAGCTCCCCCTCCCCAGTCCCCAACCACCAAATTGAATCCCATCAATCGGTAAAAGAATAATTATTTCCTACTCATTCAGCCATCACTGGCGCATGTGTTCATTTCATTAGGATCACAGTCAATTTCTTTACAAACTAGTTTGACTCTCTTTTGGCTCCAAAGCAAAGCCCTCATTACATGTGTTTGTGTGTTTTGTGTGTGGTTTTAAAAACAGTGTCTAGCCTGCCAGTCCGGTGCAAGTGGAACATTTGCAGTGGGTTTGGACCATCTTTTGATGCTCGTCACCTGTGTCTCATCAGTGGATCTCCTAATATGAATACAAAACAGTGTTTTGAGTACATCTGCAGTTCAGTCAACTTTTCTAGGGTTCTATTGACTTGGTTGATCAATACTTTGATTATATAACAACTGTGTTTTGGTGTGGGATATGACATATGAGGAAGAATACTCTCTCTCTCTCTCACACATATCCAGTATGTATTTGAGGAGCCATCAGCAGTGCTGTCCTATTATCTTCCTTATCTTTAGTGGGACGCAACCAATCTGATCAAAAGATGTAAAATCAATCTTACTAGTCAAGAACAGAAGAGATTAAAGTATGGAAGAGGGGGAAAGGACATGAGATCCAGCCAAAAGGGGGAGAGAAGAATTGAACTAAATCTCTGATTGAACATGTAATGTTCTGTTCTAAGAATGCACGAAGGAAATGGATTTCTCGATGTTGTTCCATCAAGAAGTGGACTATACGATCTAATGGTTTGGCCAACCCCAGTTGCCCTCAATAATTGGTCCATTTTCAGTGACTAAGGACCGACAGTTTTAGTGTTTTCAGTTATTTACTTTGCTAACTATATCAGCTAATGGTTTAACTTAGCCAAGTTTATATTGTATTTGTATTTGAATATTATTGTGCATGGGACCCAGTTGTATTGACAGTTTGAGGACCTACTTGGTTCCAGGTGTGTGGTGTACAATGCATTTAGCATTGCTCAAATGTCTTTTATGCCAAATGAATGGCTGTAATTGAGAATGATCATAGCCCCATCCCCATCAATTACATTATTTTGGATGATCAAGGGAATAGTTTCAAATGCTGTTAACAAAAAATCCCCCCAAGCCGTAGATGGCACGTGCACCATGTGTAGAATATGATACTATTAGCCTTATACTAGTATTATATAGTCTGTATCCGGAGGAGAGGGACCTTAGATTTCCAACTTGGTGCTTGGTTCTACGAAGTACACCAAAGAAGAATCAGCTTACAGAAACTCTTGGACTTGGATCATCTGTTCTTAATCCTAATCTATTAATGAAACTTCTGGAGAGAGAGAGAGAGATTATTGGATTCAATTTCTATACCATACACAGATTATGATACAGAATGATGTGTACTTAGGACTAGTAGTAGTAGCAGTAGGCAAGTAGCATAGTGGGGTGGTGATTTTCTCTCATAATTATAATAATTTGAGAGAGAAAAAGGGGAGAGGGTGGCAGCTTTTGCTTTTAAAAGTATTTTCCTCTTTGATTAGTTTATATGGGATGGACTGACTCATGACTGTACAGACTGTTTGAGTGTGTTGTGGAATCAATAAAGCAAACACAAGCCGTATAAAAAAAGAAAATGAAATAAATAATCTCACACAACAAAGATCTCATGAAATGCTGCTGCATCACCAATCTCGAGCCCATGCCTCGAGATTCCAATATTTTTTAATTTCCATTCAAGAGGGAATTTGGGACTTAAATGAATGGCAAAACCCAGAGAATGTTGGATTTCTACTAGGGAAACAAAGAATTCCTCTCTCTCTCTCTCTCCTAGTATTTTCTTCTTTTTGTGCCAACTCTATTTATAGTTTTATTACTATTCTTTTAACAACGCAATAAACACACTTACAGACAACAATTCCTATAAAGCTCAAAAGAAGATCCGAACACACGCGCGTAGCACCCATATCTAGACCATTTGATGACTTACTATCAAAGAATTTTGTTCCGGATTTCTGAATTTTAATTGCTATTTTTTTTCTTAGCTTGCTTTTGATTTCAAATCCTCGGAGCAGCAGAATAGAAAATTCTTTCTTCCATCATTTTCTAGGCAATTGCATGATTGAAATACTATGAATTTTCGAATTCTCTCCTCCTTTGAGTTTATCTAGAAATAGTTTATTTTCTGTTTAGTTTCTTAACGTTTATATATTCTTTTTTTTTTTAACTTTGCTGAACCAGAGTGGCAGGCATGTTAGTTCTCTCTTTATTACCGAATCTCTGGTCTTTTTCTTGGGTCTGACAGAGTGTGTGAGTGAGTGATTTTCTGGCATGGGAAGCATGAGGCCTTCTTGTTGTTGGCTCTGATGTAAACCTTACCTAAACCCGAAGAAACCCAACTCAAGATTTATTCTTTTGACTCCATCAAACAACTCCTACTTGCTCCCTACCAGTTCTCTATATCACTGGAAGCAGGTTTTGGCACCTGGATATCTGGTTTGTAAACCTCTAGTTCAATGGGAACCATGAAAAGGGATGTTGTTTTATGTCTCGTGGTTCTGCTCTGGCTTTGGAGTCCTTCAAGTTGTCTGCTGTCTCCCAAAGGCGTTAACTTTGAAGGTAATTTCTTATTTTTCTCAGTTTCTTCAACCAGAGTATCTTGTTTGTTCTACCAGATAAGTAGGAAATGGAGAGTTGATGAGGTGAGCTTCTTTGTTTCAGTGCAAGCTTTAATGGGTATAAAAGCTTCTTTGGTGGATCCTCATGGTGTTCTTGATAATTGGGACGGAGACTCTGTCGACCCTTGCAGTTGGACCATGGTCACTTGTTCCCCTCAGAGTCTAGTGACTGGACTGTAAGTCTTTATGATGTTGTCACACATTTAAAGAACATCAGCATTTAATGAAGTTGTACGAAAGTTTAGCATTCTGCATGTGTGAAAGAAAATTTTTGGAAGAGAAGCTCAGAAGTTTCCACATGGTCTTGTTGCAGAGGGACTCCAAGCCAAAATTTATCTGGTACTCTTTCTCCAAGTATAGGGAACTTGACAAATCTCCAGATTGTGTAAGTATCCGCTGGGAATTCTACTTTGAAAGTCTGATGAGGATTCTTTTTTTTTTTTTTTTCTAAATTTGGTTTTATCATTGGGTTCATTTGTAGGCTCTTACAGAACAACAACATATCGGGGCCTCTTCCCCCTGAGCTTGGGAGACTCTCAAAACTGAGAACTCTTGACCTTTCCAATAACTTCTTTTCTGGTGAAATTCCCACTTCGCTAGGCCACATGAAAAGTCTTCAATACCTGTGAGTAAGAAACTTTATAAACTGAAAACTGATCCTTTTTCCCTATGGATTTTGTTCTCTGTTTGCATCTTCTTCTATGTCTTCACCAAATTCTTTTAATCTGATCGTGGCTATTGGAATTGGGATCAGGAGGCTTAACAATAATAGTTTATCTGGAGCAATTCCTTCGTCTTTGGCCAACATGACCCAGCTTGCCTTTCTGTGAGACTCTCTCTCTCTCTCTCTCTCTCTCTCCACACGCACAAACAGTGGAATTTGTCTGAATAAGGTATCTTGGTTTATGCTACGCCGCAGGGACTTGTCATATAATAATTTGAGTGGACCTGTTCCCAGGTTTCCTGCTAGAACATTCAAGTAAGTTGCTATTGAAGTCTTTCTTTCTTCTTAGCTATTGAAAGCTTTTTTTTTCTTATTTTTATTTTCAAGGAATAAGGGATGATTCTGAATTCATTCCTGTTTGTTTCTCTTTATCATAAATGCAGCATCGTGGGAAACCCTCTGATTTGTCCAACAGGCTTAGAGAAAGACTGCTACGGGACGACACCTGTGCCACTTTCCTTCACTTTAAATAGTTCACAAAGTACGGATCTTTAACTTGATGGCCTGTTGAAAGTTTCTTTCTTTTAGGTTTCTTTTTTTAGAATTAATTTCCATACACAGTGGTTCTTATACTGGGTAAGTGATCATTAATGGAGAACAGGATTGAATCTATCATTAGTTCTGTATACTAATTTCAGCCCTTATCATTCTTTGTTCTTAAAGTTACAGTTGGTTTTTCTTTTGAACTTCCTTTTTCTTCACCTTTAATTTTTATTACATGATTGCCGAGCCTTTCCTCTTCATGGTTTTAATATACATCTTATAGGAGCACTATCTCCTGTCTTCTAATTATTGCATTCTCCTTTGCTTTTTACTATGTATTTCAGTGATATTTCAGAAATTTAAGGTTCTAGTTTAAAAGTTTCATCCTGGCTTTTATTACTTATTTATAGCATTTCTGCATATCCATCCTTGCATTTTCATGACCATTTATTCTTTCTGCCTCTTAAGGTACTCAACCTTCAGGAAGACTGAGAACTCAAAAAGTAGCTCTTGCTTTTGGATTGAGCCTAGGCTGTGTTTGCCTGCTTATTGTTGGATTTGGATTTCTTCTTTGGTGGAGGCAAAGACACAACCAGCAGATATTCTATGATGTCAATGGTTAGTAAAACAGGAAAAAAAACTAGGAGAAATTAAGCAGTAGCCATTAGCTGGACTTAAAGCTCAGTTTGGAAGGAGTACAAATACAAATTTGTAGAGTGCAAAACCCTGTATTTTGTATGTATTTGCACTGTACATATTTGTATTGTACTCTTTCCAAACTGAGCCTAAGTACTTAACTAGGGCAAATTAAGTATAAACAGTAGCTATGAACTGGTTAGTCCATTCATCTTAAATTCTCTCTCTTGAAAATTTCAGATCAACATCACGAAGAAGTTTGCCTTGGAAACTTGAAGAGATTCCAATTCAGGGAGCTTCAGATTGCAACCAACAACTTCAGCAGCAAAAACATACTTGGAAAGGGTGGTTTTGGGAATGTTTACAAGGGATCTCTCCAAGATGGGACCATTGTGGCTGTAAAGAGGCTGAAAGATGGAAATGCCATTGGAGGGGAGATCCAATTTCAGACTGAAGTTGAAATGATCAGCCTAGCAGTACACCGCAACCTCCTCAAGCTCTGTGGATTTTGCATGACACCAACAGAAAGGCTTTTAGTTTATCCTTACATGTCCAATGGGAGCGTAGCGTCACGTCTAAAAGGTAAATAAATCTTTGATATGCAAAGAATCCCCATGGTTAGTGTCTAGTTGAATTCTGGATACAGAATTGGACCTTAAATGAGTTTCCTATTATAGGAAAGCCAGCATTGGATTGGGCAACTAGGAAGAGAATAGCCCTGGGAGCTGCAAGAGGTCTATTATACCTTCATGAGCAGTGCGATCCAAAGATAATTCACAGGGATGTGAAGGCTGCCAACATATTGCTTGATGACTACTGTGAGGCTGTAGTAGGAGACTTTGGATTGGCAAAGCTTTTGGATCACCAGGACTCACATGTGACAACAGCTGTGCGGGGAACTGTGGGGCACATAGCCCCTGAGTATCTCTCCACCGGCCAGTCCTCAGAGAAGACAGATGTCTTTGGGTTTGGAATTCTCCTCCTCGAACTAATTACGGGTCAGAGAGCTCTAGAATTTGGCAAAGCAGCAAATCAGAAAGGAGCCATGCTTGATTGGGTAAGCACTATGATTGTAGAATAAATACCTTCTTCTCACTTTATACTTGTGTGAATTCATTTGTTTCCTTGTTCATGTATGCATAAAAACAGGCTCAATCAAGGAATAAAAAGGTCATTATCCAATGCTGGCCCCAGTTATCCAGGGTCTGGGAGGGGTATACTGGAATCAGGATTATTTTAGTAACCACTCTCAGACTCAATCATGTTTTCTCATGCATACAATACAAGGTCAAGATTTTACAATTGCACAAGCAATGACCCTTGATTGAGACCTAGGCTTAATTGAAGAATATTAAGATCCTTATAGTTAATTTTCAGGGACTTAATATAACAACTTCTTATAATGTTTGGTCACCCATGGTTGCAGGTGAAGAAGATTCACCAAGAAAAGAAGCTTGATATGCTTGTTGACAAGGATCTGAAAGACAATTATGACCGAATCGAACTGGAGGAAATGGTTCAGGTGGCGCTATTATGCACCCAATACCTTCCAGGACACAGACCTAAGATGTCTGAAGTTGTTCGAATGCTTGAAGGTGATGGGCTTGCTGAGAGATGGGAAGCTTCCCAGAGAGCTGAAACAACAAAGTGCAAACCCCATGAATTCTCCTCATCAGAGAGATACTCTGATCTAACCGATGACTCTTCATTACTTGTCCAAGCAATGGAACTCTCAGGCCCAAGGTGAATTACTTGGCATTGACAAAAGGAAAAGAAAAAAAAAAAAATTCAACCAGTAGTGAAACAAATGATAATAAGGAAGAATTCCATTATTCTAGCTGTCTAGAAGAATCTGGCGTACATCAAGAGAGTTTGTTGTATAGTAGTGAAAGTGGTATATTAAAGCTTTCAAAGGATTGCGATATGTACAGGATGGGATTTAAGAGACTGACATTATTTAGATGGAGTTTTCCGTTTGCTTTTTCCCTCAGTTGAGTGAAAGAATCTTCTTTGGGGGAATATGCAATTAGGGTCATGAGATTGAAAGAATAATTTCTTGACATGGGTTTTGTTTGTTTCCTTAAAATTTCAAGCCAAAAGAGAGATATGATAGGAGTTTATGAGTATGGAGAGTATGTACCATATACATTTATAATTTTTTATATGAAATTCCATCTTCAAGGTTTGTTATTGGCGTTATATGCAATTATCTATATTCTGTACAACTAATGGAAAAGAAAATATTTTCAAGAGATTCCTTTTTAACTTTTTCTTCTTCTAGCTTTGTACATGTCTTCAAAACCTCTCCACATGTTCTGCTATATCCATATATATCCACATATATTGCGCCAGTCCATCTTTGTTATATACTGACATCATTCAATTTATCAGAATGGTTTTTGGCAAATTGAGAGGCTGTATCAGACACCCGGTTTTGTCATGGAAAAAAGAACAGCAGTTGGCACTGTCAATCTGTCATTCTGATGATCTTTTATCTTTTTTTGGGTTCCTCTGAAAACGAAACTAGAACTTAACAGAATCAGAGAAACCATAAGAAAATACATTAATTAGCAGAAAATCTCTTACTAGGCGCATCTAAAATGGATTATTGGAATGGAAATATTAATAAAACTGTGTGCACTGTCAATCTGTCATTTCCATCTCCCTTTACATGTTGGTAACTTCACCTTTTATTGGTGGACAACCATTATTTGAAAGATAAAATCTTTTAATAGAGTAGATTATAGAACCCTTCCATGTACGACCCTGCGTTTGGTTTGATACGAAGTCCCCCCCCCCCCCCTCATACTAGTCAATATAACCTTAATGAAGTAGTCACATAGATGGTTTCCGAGCTCCTTGTAGGTAGGGGTGTAAATGGATCGAATTTGAATCGAATCAGATAATAACGGATAGTGAAAATTAATATTCAAATTTGAATTCGATTAAATATTAAAATATTCGATTCAGTTTGATTTCGACCAATTAATTATTTTAGGTAATTAATAAATATTTTATTTATATAAAGCATATAAATATATAAACTATGTATATATTTTAATTAATATATATATATATATAAATTATATAAAATATTTAAATATTTTATATGTTATATATAAAAGTTAAATAATTGGTTGAATTCAGATATTTATCAAACCGAATCAAGTTATATCCGAATTTGAATCCGATTAGCTATTCAGTATTAATAGGATATCCGAATTCAACCAATTAGATATTCCAATCATCTGAATTTGCTTCGATTACATCAAATCTCAAGTTTGAAATTGAATTTTTGAATATCCTTGACACCCCTACTTTTAGCATTTAAACTTATTAAGCTCATCATCTAGATGCCAATAAAAATTTGAAAATACTATTGGGCCACGTTTGAACATTAAAGTGACCTTCATAGTAGCCAAATCCATATATAAGATATCTGCTTTTTCAGCCCAGAATGGTTGTCAACAGAACCCCCTTATCAAGGAAACGAAAAGAAGTAGAGAAAGAAAAAGAAGGAAAAGCAAATGCACAAGGTAAAGGTACAAGTACTGTTTGGTTATCATCTAGATGCTCCTCTTTTGTTTGGTAAGATATCACATAAGAAGTACTTTCACATTACCTGAATCCTATTTTCTCCACCTTTCTCTGAGGTGACAAAAAGTAGTTTTTCTTTTTTTTAATAAAGTAACATGCCCTATTTTGTTATTGACACTATCTTGTTAGTGTTATAGGCAACAAAAGCACAATTAAAAAAACAAATTTATCTCAACAACTATACGTATATAAACATGTTTCACGGTATTAATATCATGAAAACATAACTGTAGGGCTGTATATCATACACATTCAGGCTATAAATGCTGCACCTTAATTAAGACCACTAAATAGACTCTAAATTTTGTAAGGTGTAACATTTTGCTGTGTTTGGTTGCGGTGCAATTCTATTTGCACTAGTACAAATGTATGGGAAAGCCAATGAAAAAAATGCAAATTTTGGTTTAATTTTGTTTTGAGCTTCACCTTATACTACTTGGGGTCTCATTTTCCTTCATTTGTACTGCAACCAAAAGTAAGGTAAAGTTTGAAATAAAAACAAATCAAAATTTGTACCCAAATCATTTACACTATCATAGTTTTACATCAACACAACACAAAAAAAAAAAATCACTGCAACCAAATACAGCCTTGGGGCCAATGGTGGTTTTGCAATAGCGATTCTGCCAAGCTTGCTTCTGTACCATAGGTTTTACAAATATATAAATATAGCCAAAATGCCTCAAATGAGAATCCATTTGTGTAGTTTATTTCGGTGTCCATGAAATTAACATCAACACAGATGGGTACAGAGCAAGTGCAGCATGAGGCCCACTAACCATATCACGGAGAGTCTGCAGTTTCACGGGTTTGATCTCACATCTCTCTCCACTAGCTATGGAAATGATGCAGAGTGACCATTTCAATTATAATTTTTCTTTCCATTTGTGAGATTACATGTATTAGTTAGGTGAGCCATAGAAGCAAATATACAATATAACATGTTTTTTTTCATAGAATGATAAACTTTGCTTATAACAAGCTTATAGTAGTGAAGAAGAAGAGACCCATGTGATGCACAGGCTGTTGTTAAAACCTGMCCATAAGTGATTATTGCATTCATTTCCTATTAAAAAGGAAACTGAATTGGTTGTGGGTGCAAAGATGTGTATAAATAACCATTTTTTATTTTTTTTTTAGATTGAAAAACCCAAAATTTTAAGTTTTTTTTTGGTAAAAAGAATTCTAAGAGGGTGGGGAAGCAATATGAGGAGGAGAGAACATAAGCTGACCTGGACAACTGCTTTTTTAAGTATATAAAATAGATAAGCTAATTAAGCATAATAAAGCTATTATTGATAGCTTTATTTGTTAACTTATAGAAGATTTGTGTTTGTCATTTTCCTGATTTGTCTATCTGTTCGACATGGAGCTGCTGGCCTTTTGTCCAAGTTAGCTGATATCAGAGATGAGGTGATTGGGACGTAGAGAGCCACCCTTCTGATCAATGATGTAATGGAGAAGGCCCCCTCCAGTGGTCCTAGTTCAATTATCAACCAGAGATTTCGTTTTCAAACGCTCTCACTTCCCCCCACCAAAAATAAAGAAAGAAACTTGTATGGATTCGCATTTTGGTGAAAACCCAAATCAGGAATTCTTTTAGATCGAATTCTAACTTCTCTGTTCAGTTTCAAATCGGTATTTGGATCATCTCTAAATCGGCAATCACATAAATATTGTATTTCTTGCTTATGATCTTAAGATCCTGTTTGTCGTTACAACTTTTCTAATTTGTAAAGTGCAGGTATTACTGCTTGAAATTTAAACTGATTATTTGTTTCTTGGAAACGGGTTTTGTCCATGGAAAGAACTTTATATCCCACTAGAGGAGATAAAGCTGACTAATGAAATAGACTATGCTTCGAACTTTATGAGTGTTGGGTTTGGGGAGGAGAATCCGCCATTGAAAGTGTTTGATCAAAGTGGTTTTCAGTTTGACATTGACCTGGCATATAGGGAATTCCTTACTTGGGCAGTCGGGTGAGGACCATCACTAAGAACCGGAAAAACATTTGCAGTTAGGGGCCAACAGCCTATGCTGTTGAGAACATTTTTGGGAATGCCACGTTACCATAGAGTGGGGTAAAATAGTAAATGTCTCATATTTCTTTTTTAACTATAAACATAGACATGGCTTTAAATTGGTGAACGTGTCTAGCTTAAAAACGCTCTCAACAGCTAAAATTAACTCACTTGAAACTTAGTGAGTCCGGCAGGTTAACTTTGGCTGTTGGGGCCCAACAGCATAGCCATAAGCTGTTGAGACAGTTTCTGGGCTGGGTGCCTTCTGGACAGTTTATCTATTCATGCCCATGCTTTTGTTTTTAGTTAAAATAAGTTAAGATGTTATTATCAATTTACCCATTCTCATGATAATGTGGCATTTCCAGAAATTCTCTCAACAGCATAGGCTGTTGGCCCCCAAGGCCCCAACAGCTAAAGTTTTTCCGAATCTGGATGGGCTAGAAACAAAATAGGCTAAACAACCTATCAAGAGAGAACACATCGTACACATGGGCCATGTGAAACCCTCCTCCTTTGTACGGTGGTATGGAACATATCTATATCAGAGCAAATTTTTAGGTTTGAACTGCGTGGCTCAATCAGTAGATGATCAGCCTCCATGAAGCATTAAGGAAGAGATACCGATTAACAAGAAGGTTCACAAATTTGGCATAAGATATACAAAGTTAACAAATTTGCTTTTATCTTCACAGGATTTTGTTGGTCATTAGAAGAGGCATCACCTTTACATCCACTTCCATCGTTTGGATAAAATGTTTAGGCACAGTTTGGAAGTGGTGTGTGTATATATATATATATATTAAAACAAAGTGGTCAAGAAATTTTCTCCCTGGTTTGAATTTTTTATTTTTTTTATTCCATGTTATTTTTGAAACAACCAATGAGATGCACTTTCAAAGAACCTAAATAACCTCTTCTTCTAAAATATCTCCTAAACTACCTCCCCCAATTTCTCTAAAATCATCTCTAATTCTTATTTATCATCTAAATTATCTCTAATTCCTATTTATCCTCTCCCCTACTTTTTATCTATATCTATCTAAAGAAAGTTTGGATTAAAAAAACTAAGAATTATTTAAATATTCTAACAAAACTATATGATAACTATAAAATATTTATTAAAAGCACAAAAAATAATTTTATATTTTTACGAAATATATCACAAAATTATGTACTAACAATTTAAACTATTTTTTTTCGGATTATCAATTTAAAATAATGGAATTATATAATAATTTTAAAAAAATTCTTCAAAGTAGAAAAATAACTACAACATAATATTCAAATTAATAATAATTTAATATATTACAAAAATTAATAATGAAATTAGGTAATAATAGTATAAATTATGATTTTATGAATAATTAAATTCAATAAATAATTGATATTTTAAAATTTAAATATTTTACATATTATTTAAGTATTTAAATAACTAAATATTTTAAATAAAAAAATATTTAACATAACTATATTTTAAATAGTTAAAATAATGAAATTATGTAATAAATTTAAAATAAAATTATGAAAAGTAGAAAAATAATTATAATATAATATTGTAAATAACTAATTTCACATATATCAAGTAATAATTCAAGAAAATAACTTTCAAAAAAATTAATATTTACTAATTATAATTTTGAACTCTTAATTTGTATTTATTATATAATTATATATAATAAAATTAATATTTATTGTATTTCATTAATTATTTATTGTTTCCATGATAGATGTTTCAATGATTATGTATAAATTTATTTTGTTTTGTTATTTAACAGAAAATTTCAATAATTATTGAAGATTAAACTACTATTATTGAATTTTTTTAATTTAATTTATTGTGCTTATTGTATTTATTGTATTTTTGTTATAACTTTTTGATTAATTAATATTTATTAGAGATTAAACTATTATTTGAGATTATACTATTTATTGACTAAGTTAAATATATTTTTAGTACTTATTCTATTTTTTTCATTACCAATATTTTCAATAAATGTGTATTTCACTATAAATTTTCAATAATTATTGGAGATTAAAGTATTGTTATTTATTGGAGATAAGACTATTAATTTAGCTAAAATTATGAATGTTCATGAGTTGGTTCGGTCCGGCTGTAGGCTATTTGGCCAACCAAATTGACCTGGTTGGGGAGTTGGTCAGTTGAAATCGACTGGCATTTTGTAAAAACCAATCCACTCAAGTTGTATTGGTTTGGTTTAGTTTTCACAAAAGGTCAATCGGTTCAAAAGATTTAAACTGAAAAATTAAATTAAATTTTAAAAATTACAAATCAATTATTAAAAATTAAATTTAAAAAATTAGATTTATGAAATAAAACATTTTAGATTAAGAAATATGGGAAATTTCTCACTTTTTCATATTAAAAATTATATTTTAAATATAAAATATTAATATATATGCATGGTTAGGTTGTTCGATTTTGGTTGGATCATAAATGGCTAAAGTGAAACTGATCCAACTTGGTCAAGTTGAAAAATTTGTGAACCAAAGCTGACCTAAAATACTAGAAAATCGACCAACTCGGGTCAAGTTGATCGGGTTGGTCGGTTTCATACGTTTGACGAATGAACCTAACTGAAATTAATAATTGTTATTTTTCTTTTATAAAAAGTTTATTAAAAGTAGTATATAAAATATGAATAATTATTAATTATTCAAAAAGTTGAAAATATAAAACAATTGTATACTCTTATGTATTTTTATTAGGGACATTTACTAGAACACACCTTATAGTTTTATATATTTACTTAAACTTACCTTTTAGTTTTCATTTTACTAAAACATCCCATATATTTTACAACATATTTACTTAGTCAACCTTTCATTAAGGATTGTTTATTTTGCCTTTAAGCCCATGATTTTTTATTCCAAAAATACCCTTAACACTTTTTATACAGAAAACAAAATTGGCCAAATATAGCCAATAGTGGTTGCCCGTGTCTTATTAAGGGCAGGAATGGTATTTTTATTTCTATTTTCTTTTCATTAAGTGTATTTAAATGAACATTAGTATTAATACTGTCATTTTCCACTATCATCTAATGGACGATCGATTAAATCCGTTGCAAATTATAAGTGATGTCTTAGTAAAATGCTAACTATAGGGTAGATTTTAGTAAATCCATGAAACTATAAGGGTATTTTAGTGGATGACCATTTCTATTATTTATCTTTCGTTTATACGGATCCCCGCTAATGCAAAATCTTGTATTTTATATGTATTTATACTCTTTACAAACTGTGCAGTGAGCATTAATCTCACGGCATCCATTTCCAGAAAATACACGGAAGAAACTTGGCCCATTAAAGCATCGTACCTAGCCCATTAATGAAAACGATGTCCGTCTTTCCCTGAGCTATTTTTTTTTTTTTACAATTATTATTACAAAAATACTAGTGATATATTTTTAATTTAACGCATGAAATAATCAGCACGTCCAATTAATTAAATATTGGCATTAATAAGATGTACAGCGTATAGTCAATTACTATAATGGGGCCAGCCTGTTTGAACAAAGGGGTCTAAATTGAGGCCCATGTTTGACCCATGAATCTATATAATGAAGCCCAACACCAAATCATTATGAGCCAGACGCCATCCGTTCTGAAACGCAGGTAAAACCAAACCATCATCAATCAAAACCACACACCAAAACAAAAACACACACACACACCAGAATAATTATTGCATTATCGATCATCTAATAACAATTTCCAAGATTTAATTAATTTCGCATCAAAGTAAGAACAGGGAGTCGCAATAACTCCAGATCAGATTACCAACTTACCTGCTGCGAAGTAGGAAGAGTGAGTCAATGCAGATGTAGATCAATCCAATGGAAGGCAGCTGTGGTCTGAAACTTGTTTAATTAAATAGTCTCAAATGGGATTCATTCAGCAGAGAAGACAGAAACTTACAGTGGTTAAATAAAAAAAAATAAAAACAAAAGTTGTTGTATTTTTTATATAACAAACTTGGTATTTCGTATTTAATGATGAGCCCCAAATCCCAAGGGATTGAACCATATGATGATATGCTTGGAACAAAGGCAAACCATGATCTTATAATTTTCTTTCGAAACCAAGAACAACCATATATATCCCATATGATATCCTCCGATATCTTTCATTTGAAACCGATATGGGCGAAGCACGTCTCCGTTGCGATGGAGACGTGATCGAGAATTCCTGGATTCTCTGGGATTGGTTGTTGTCTGTTGTGGATGGTAATGAGGTTCAAATTTCCTAAGAAGGAAAGGGTTGTAAAACAACATGACTTTGCAAAGCCCGTTCGAGCAGCCATCGTAGCTTTGTTCCATTAAATAAAGCACAGAAATACAAAGATATTATCGATGCAAGGTTGTAAAGGTTGTTCGAACGGGCCTTACACTGACTAAGCCGATGTAAAATCAAAATTCAATGGTATATAAAACACGTGGCAAGGCAGTAACCAAGATGTTGCTTCAAGCCTTCAACGATGGAAGAATTAACGTTCAGAATAATGGTACCACTCTCAAGCAGCAAACTCATGCACCCATGCATAGGCAATTAGGCATGGAGTTAAAATCACGGTTCAAAGTATCGATACGTGTTGGCTCGTATCAACCGATACGTATTGTTCTGAGACCCTTCCGATACATCCCTATAGTGGGTGTATCGGGGTCTAACTGGTTCAGGGGGTGGAGGAGACGTAAACTGGCCCCCTGAGCTGGTTTCAAAAAAAAAAAAAAAAAAAAAAAACTGAAAAAAAAAATAGTATCGATTCGCCTGATACACCCATACCAGCGTATCGGACATATCAATATTTTTAACACTATTTTGAACCTTGATTAAAATACAAATTTATTTAAACTTGGCATTTTCCGTGTTTTCATCAATATTCATAATTTCATATATATTTTGACCAGTAAACGTTGGATCCAGACTGCATAATAATTGAATTGTTTGAAGTGAATAATTAATAATTAGAGATCAAAATATTACAATAAATTATAATAACAAATGAAATATTAAATAACAATAAATTAAACCAATTGTTGATAATTTTGCACTAATTTCTGAACTGGGAAAAATGACCGACTCTTCATATATAGATAGATGGTGAAGAAGTATAGAATTGGTACGTACCCCTATATTACATTATCTATCGCTTTATATATCAGAATGTTGTTCCACAAAATAATTTCTAGACCAAGGGAGAAACAATTAAAGCGGGCAAAATGTTGTTGGAGAGACTGGGGTTATCTACTCTTTAACGTACATAATCTTGGCCTGTGTAGAAGCTCGTTCTAATTGTAGTAACTGTATCAGCATATCTTCTCGTCTATCATTCTGTGGATGAGGCGTTATAGTCATTGTTTTGAGCGCTGGTGAATTAGAGAGGATGAATTTTATGAACTGCAATTCATGTGGTGCACCCAACAAGTGACCCATTGACACAAATTGAAGCTGACTCATAAAGCAACCTGAGTAGCTTTCTCTCTCCCAGAAATCCAAACCTGATGCTTGCATTGCAGCCTTCTTATCTGAGTAATCCTGTACATGGATGGAATTAAACAACACCACTATAACTATATACAAACTATAATTTAATTTAAATTTAAGGCTATGTTTGGTTTGAAGGAAAAACTGGGGAAAGGAAGGGAAAGACAAAGAAATCTTTACAAACTTTGTATAGGATTTCATTCCTTCCTCTTCTTTTCCCTACCTTTTCCTTCAAACCAAACATAACCTAAAGGGGCCGGACAAGAAAATTGAAGGACCGAAATGTTTACACATGACTGACCTCAACTCTAAGTCGACGTAAGTTGGGAGAGCTTCTAATCAAGCAAAGTGCACACGAGATATCGTATTCGTCTTCAAAACTACAGCTTAATTCAAGATTCCTCATGTCATTATATGTTGTGGGAAGTCTATCCGGTATGTCACCATATGAAAAAAACTGAAAAAAATAAAAATAAACAGAGGGAAAAGAAAAATACATGAGCATAGGGTTTGCCAAGAAAGAAACTATCTCATCATTCACATAAGTTCATCATCATATGAAATTGAATCATCTGAATAAAATAAAGGGGTGTTCTACAACATGAATGTTTTTTGTTTTTGGAATCGTTACATCAGCAGAAAAACAAATACATGTTTTTAAATTCTATTTTTGTTTTCAAAGGAAAAAACAAGTTGGTTTTGTTTTAAAAAACGATATATAATTTTGGAACCAACAAAAACATTAGTTTATAAAACAAAAAAAAAAATTTAGTATAAAAATTATATGATTTATAAAACATAATGTTGAATAATCAGATGAAAACACATTTTTTGTTTCAATTTTGAAAACAAAAAATTTCATATACAAGAAAAACAAGAAAAGCAATTCACATGCAAGAAAATACATTTATAATATTGTCCCTATTTATAATATTGATGGATGGGGGAATCTGTCACGATGTAGTATATGGGGGGTTTTGCAAAATAAAATAAAACGTTGTAAAGTGGGATAAACCATAATTTTCACATATATTTTAAGAGAAACTTTAATTTTTTTAAATGATTTTAAATGGGCTTATATAGTATGACTAAATGTACCAATTCCAAACGGAGAAATAAAAGGTAAATAATAAATAAATGAAGAGAAAAAGGAGTAAAATACCTGCATGATCTCTATCTTAAGACTCTCAAGACCAACTAGACCATTAAGGGTCTTTGTCAAATTACAAGTACCGCTTTTATCAAGGAAATCTGCGATTTCATCACTAATTTGGAAAACAAATACTGCATTGCGTAAGAGTGGGGTATCTTGTATGACAATTTCTTGGAATCCACCATCAACATGTAAGAACTTCAGATTTGGCGCTTGTATTTGAAGAAAATCTAGGCCTTCGACATTTGCTAGAACTAATTCCTCGAGAAGTGGGCAGCTGGAAATAAAATCTCTAACTGTCTCATTTCCACAGACAACACTTTCGAGCTGGAGGTTCTTCAAAGAATGAAACCCTTTAAACGTAGGAGGTGGTATCAGTGTGCAACAATGGAGCTCCAAAATATTCAACTTTTGGAAAGAGAAGAGGCAAGATGGGACAGTAAACCATTCATGATAAAAATCCAGATTGAGGATAAATTCTCTTATGTCATTTCTCGATAAGAAAAGTATCCATTGATTTACATCACAGCAACTCCTCAGCCACGAAACAGAGACCTCAAACCTGTGAATTGGGCCGCTATGAAGTAAGAGAGATCGATGCACGAAGTTGACGAATTTTTCGGTCTTAACAAGAAGCTCAGCATTTGAATGGGTTGGGATGCATTGATCATCAAATTTCAGATTTGGAATTGTAACCCATTTGTATCTCCATTTTTTAGATAATATGCTTGTTCTCACAGCATCCCTTAACGGCATAGACACAAGGATGTGCTCTATAATGATCGGAGGTAGATCACTGATTATATCTTCAACCAAAATGTCATCCATTTGCAGTCAGAACCAAATTAGTTGCACCTACCTTGCAGTTCTGGAACGCAGGCAAAACCAAGCCATTATCAATTCCACACACCAGAATGAGTAAGCGTTATCAACAATCACACAATCAATGGTCCACTATAATATTTTCCAAGATTTAGCTTAAAAAATAAGCACAGGGAGTCACAATATACTACAGACCAATCCAATGGAAGGCAGCTGTGGTCTGAGACTTGTTTGATGAGCCTCAAATGGGATATTCATCCAGCAGAAAAAGAAAGAAATTACAGTGGTTAAACAGAAATAAACTCCTTTTCTTAAAACTTTCTTTTATTTGACAAATCTTAAACTAAGGAACAAATCATTTTCTTAAGTGCTCTGTATTAGGAAATATCCCTAATCAGATCATCAAATTAACAAAAATATATAATGAAGAGCTAGTAAGGAAATGATTAAAAAAAAATAAAAAAAAGAAAGAAAGAGAGAGAGAAAACAAACTAGAGCTAAGAGATTCAGATTGAACAACTTACAGCCTGTACTAGATTTTCTCACGAAGGAAGACCCAGAAGAATGAAAGAAGACAAAGAGAGAACAAAGGAGCTAATGAACTTGAAGGGTTTTAATAAAACTGGAGAGTGGAGAGAGAGTGCATGTTAACGTTAAGATCTTGCGCGCGGGCGGAATACTATTTCAAATCCATTCATTAAGAGGGTGCCAGCAATGCAGCAAGCTCCGCTCTCCACTCTCGCCGGTTGTTCGGATATTTGGGATCCGTTTCGGCGTTTCCGTTCACCTTCACCCAAATGACGAGCTTTTGAATTTTGAAACCGAAATGGCTGGGGCTGGCGAAACACGTCTCAGTGAGTCTTCAAGAATCGGCCGAGATGGGCAAATATGGCGAAACAATAGGTAATAGGGGGCTGGTGTGTTGTCAGCAGATACGTTTCGGTCGGCATTTCTAGTTTTCTACCTCATGTTCAATGTCAAGAGTCTGGATCTGCTCTTGCTCTTACATAGCGCGCCTCACACCAACATCATATAGGATGTTTTGGCCGCACATCGGAAACATTCCTGTACTTCTATTGGTCGATTGGGCGACTGTAAGGTCGGATAAAAAAATATGGTATGAAAAGAGTTTTGATAAATAACACCATGTCAATTGTTTTTTTTGATATTATATCTTTTTCATATCATAGTTGAACCCAATAAAATAAAAAAAAGGTCGTAACTTTTGCTTTTCCGGCTAGTTCCCGAACTGTTGCATATCAATTGATTTATTGAGATAAAATTAGGGGTGTCAATGGACCGGTTTTGAGTTGGATTGAACCAATAAAATAAGTTAAATAATATAGACCGACTAGACGGATCAATATGACATATTGGATTGAATCTGGTGGCCCATAATGAATTTATAATAGATTGAGCTAATATCTGGTCCATTGATAGATGATAAGAACACAGGCGTCAATGAACCAGGTTTGAATTGAAACCAACCTAAATTAACAAGAATTTGAAATAGATTAAACAGTCTCTGGACCAGTCCAAAATATTCATTGGACTGGATTGGACCAGATCCATTTGTAATGAATTCACATTGAACTGGACCGGATTGGACCAAATCCAATCTAATTGGAACGAAATCTTCGGGATCAAATTTTCCTAGATTGATTGAAAGTGTAGTAGTAGATACACTGGTACAACGATTGTAACTAATACTTTCACTGATTTAAAACCTATCTTATAATTTTCTTTTTAGAGTAAAAACCGGAATACTATCTGGGTCTCGGTTTTACCGGTTAACCAATAGTTTGCCTGTCCAAACCCATAAAATCCATCATTTAACCGAAACTTAGAGAGGCCACCGGTTCTCGATTTTCACAGTCCAGCCATCTGGTCCGGGCCGAATCTTAAAAATTGCTGCTTACCAACTCCATAATTTTCAACCGATTTACTTAATCCACCTTCCATTAAGTAGTATAAGAAATGGTCACAACTCACATGATCACCTAAACCGAGCGAATAATGTTGATGGGCAAGAGCCTATGGTTTTTTATTCCAAAAGTAACTCTAACACGGATTTTTTATAAAGGCTAGAATAATATTTTCATTTTTATTTTCTTTTAATTGTTTAAATCGATGTCAGTGTCAAAACTATCATTTTCACTTCTATCAAACAGAATTTGCTGACGTAGTTGTTTTTCTTTTCAAAAACAAAAACAACCATATTGTCAAGTCAAATATCTCTGAGTAAATTAATTGCAAATTGTAGGAGGTGTTTGTCTTTCTATAGATTACAATTGCTTATTCACCGCTATTCATATACAACCTAGGCTGTTTTTTTCAAATAACTAAGCTTTTCTAAACTATACAGGAAGGAGTTCAAATCTCCTAAAAGAAAAAAAAAAAAGCATGCGAATACACGGAGAACATGCATATTCTCAGCAAATGATCAAAATATTGATACAATTCATCAAGGTCATGGAGACTCATGGATACATACTGATGCATACACTCCCATTTCCCCGTTTTCTCTTTAAACTCTCTTTCCTTTCTCTCTTTTCCCCTACCCAACCTTCTTTAAACCACATGGCAAGGCTCCAGATATCTCACATCAATTCAAATCCTGTTGTAGTTGGAAATTTCCCAAACAGCTACAGGAAACTTGGCAATATGGTTTCCTTTTACGTATCTTCCCCCCCCCCCTCTACCAGAACTAATCAACCAAGACTCTTTTCTACTTCTTCCCTCTACCGATAGTGACAAACTGAGACTCTTCACCTGTCTTAGAAAAATCTTAGTTCACCATTCAAAGGACACTTTCAAACTTCATTGTATCTCTTTGCTCTCCCCACCACCCACTGTGTTGTGGAAAGTGTGCGTGTGTGTTGGAGGGAGATTCAAATTTTAAGAATCTCTCCTCCCTTCCTTATATTTTTTTAGTTTTCCATTTTTTTCTTCCCCTCTTGAATTAATGACAAAAACTTTTTATTCTACATTGCTTGAAAAATGAGTAGAATTGGAATATATCTATAATTTTGTTCTTTTTATAGGTAGGGATGCATAAGAGGAAAGCACTATAAATATTCTTATGCATGTGAGGGGAGTTGGGGGTGTTTTTCACACGCACGCTGAGTTGGGTAGGGCCGGGTTGATGTGCATGTACACACACGCTACACCGGATGTTTTTCCTTTTGACCAATTTAAACGTTTGACCTTTAAATTTCAAATTTATTTTTTGTTTTTAAACATTTTTCAGCCCGTTTGTATCTCTTCCTTTCTGTGTCTCTTTGAACAGGTGCACTGTTCCGAAGAGGCCTTTGTCTAAAAGAACACTTCTGTGTTCATTCGAGTGATTGAGAAACACTCTATAAAAGGAGTGTCGATCTACCTAGTTTTACACAACACCAGTACATTAGAAAGTATTCTCTTCTCTATTAATCTGACCATCATTCTTTTGCAATCATCCGGCTGCACCGTAGGGGACAAATGCGATTGTAAGGAGAGCGACCAAGTGACACGATTCAACCCTCATTCTCTCTACAAATTCTCAGTATTATCGTTCTGCAATACTACACTTCTACAAGTTTTCAGTTTGAAAAACAATTACCGATAAATTCAACTCTGCCTTTATTACTATTTTTCCAACAAATAGAGAGAAAGAGAGGAAAAATGGGTTCCTCAGGATTGGTTCTCATGATGCTTGGCTTGATGGTCAAATGTTCTTTTGCATAGTCACCTGCCATGAGCACCAAAGTGTTGTACCTGCACGAACACCAAAGAGTCAAATAATACGCATCCCACAATTCTCACACCACTATCAACCCATATATGCTTATCATCTTCCCCACTTCTTATTCCTATTTTTAGCTTCCTTATTTGTCCTTTTAGCTTTTTCATATTCTTCACAGTTGAATCCAAATCTAGCTTCACACGTAAAGTTTCAAAATTATTTTCTATTTTTAAACCATTTACAAAATACAATAATCATGATTCTTTGATTAAAATTTATTTGACCCAACTATTACCTTTTGCCTTGGTGAAAACTGAAAAGAGACTTCAGACCATCTCATCGGATTAATGCCCCAGAAGATGTATTCAGTACTTTTTTTTCTTGAAACTGACCTCCTATAAACCTTGCCGGAAACTACACGTCTCACTGGTTTTTGGTCGGCCAACTGTTTCTAGTTAGTCACTGATTTCAGGCGATCTTTTAATATCATCATAACAGTGATTAACAATGCTAAGGCTGCAACTTGGGCGGGGTTAAGGTTGACCCCTTAAGCAACCTGACTCTATAGTACATATTATATATAAATATATGTTATATATAATCATACATTGATTTGTTTAAATGCATGATAGTTGTATAACCACTACCACATTCTATCATTTATTTCATTTAAAATAATCATTCACTTAATCCTAATTAAATATACTAAAACTTTGATAACGTATTTTATGTTTCTGAATATTTTATTCTTTATCTCCTCTATGTTGTTTGTCATCCATAGTTTGTTGCCCATAAAAGATCTATTATAAGTCATCATAATAAACTATAGCCATTTAATTTCAAACGTTTTTTTCTGAATTTTATATTTAAAAAGCCAATAAAAACATCAACAAACAAATACTAATAAAATATAGGATTAATATATGCAATGAAAATTAAATTAAGATCTAAGATTAAGAAATTCTACAAGATTTTAAGAGATGGAAAGAATGATGAATTGAACTAGGATTGAAGAATTTAATTAGGATTGGATAGGTGGAATTGGATTAGGGTTAGGGGTGCGGGTTTAGAACTTAGGATTAAGCTAGGGTTTGCTTCAACCTGCCCTAACCCGGCCCGACTTACAGCCTTAAATAATACACTTACCTTTAATTGCATTAATTTCACTAGTGTGAACTTTACTAAAAGAAGGTTGTTTCACAGGTTTATGATTTGCCTGTTGCCTCTAGTGAGTCATCATCAATTTCTATAAACATATCAATACGACCGGTTTCCTCTTATG